TGTGCGTCCTAATCCTCAATCTCCGCTGGGTTTAACTCGATCTCCTCAAAAGGAGAACATTGGATTTGACGTGAGTCGCCATATTGGACTCGTGCCCATATTTAGAGAAAATGAAGTGGATGCATATTTCCCCATCTTCGAGCGCATCGCGACCACTTTGAATTGGCCCAAGCACCTTTGGTTGCTTCTGCTTCAATGCAAACTCGTAGGGAAAGCTCAGGAGGTATGTTCGGCTCTTGGATTAGAACAGAGTCTAGATTGTGTCCTGGTCGAGGGGGCGGAGCGAGCAGCAACAGGACGTAACACAAACAGATACAGCAAAAGGAGAAGTTACTGTACAGGCTTTTTGCTTTAGATTGATGAGATTGATGAAGAAGCAGGACAAACCTCAGAGTGTAGAAGTAGGGCAGCACTAGTAATTTGTCAGACTTCAAGTTAAAGCTATTCAATGTTTAGATTTGTGTTGTATGTGCAAAGTATGGCCACGTTCCATTTGGCCTCTGTGTTATTGCTTTTGTTGTTTTTGCATGCGTTTTATGGTGCATTCAAATGGGGTCTTGTTTACCGTGTTCACAAGATGAGCCCATATGTGTGGAGGGGTTATTCGGATTTAATTAAATAAGTAAATGTGTACACAAATATATTGTGAAATGTGACGGTACATAAATGATAATATGAAATGTATGCATTAATATGTTGTAAAATGTGGAAATAAGTTATATGAAATGTAAGCATAAATATTTATTTATGTATTTGTTTGTTTAACTAATGTTGTAAATGGGTGCAGTGCGGTTGCTTCACACCTCTGGGACCTGGGTTCAAGGCTCTGCCAGGGGTCCACGTGTGTGTAGTCTGTTCCCGTGTCATCTTGGGGTTTGCACCAGGCAGTCTGGTTTGCCCCACAGTCCAAGAACATGCTGAGGTTAATTGGATTTGCCAAATTGCCAGTAGGTATGTTTGTGGAAACTTAAAACTCCATTATATTTTGAAGATGTTGTGCACTTAGGAAACAACAGTGTACGTGGCCTTGTTTTTCTTGCTTCTGAAACACGTTTATCATTTCTTGCGCTCATACAGCTCACTTGCTTCCTGTTTGAGGAAGTATTTCATGTTTCCGAACATGACATTTAACACTTTATGTGCAAAGAGCCCATTGGTTACCCATTAAGTTAAGGGTTTTGTAATTTATCATGCACAGTATACAGTAGGGTATTTTGTGTTTATAGATTGATTTTTCTTAAGTCTGAATACAAGAAAATTTATACGAACTTGATGTTTTCAGACTTACATTCTTTCTAAAGTTTGCTGAATTACTGAGGATGCACAATCACATTGGAATTGTATCGGCAGACAATTGCTTTTTTAAAATCATCAGCTTCGGATCGATGCTTAGATTTGAATGATATTTCCAGGTGGTATTTGATGATGCATTATTGTATGCCGGAAAGGCAGCATTGATGTGACATATGGGCTTGCACAGCACAATTAAAATGTCTGCAGTGTGGAAGTTTTCCGAAGTGTGCTTTTGTGAAAGTTACTAAATAAAACATAAGAAACTTGTATAAATCATGCCACCCATGGATTTCTTCCTGTAGTCTAGTGGTAGCTATTGTTTGGGCAACATGGCCATTGCATTTATTAAATGGGACACCTGGGCATTACACCTACAGGAACTTTTATGACATCCCATTCTAAATCCATACACATCAATATGGAGTTGGTCCATACTGGAGCACAATCATGCTCTAAATCCATAGGCATGAATATGGAGTTGGTCCATACTAGGGCACAATCATGCTTGGACAGAAAAGGGCCTTCCCCAAACTGTTCCCACAAATTTGTAGGCATAGAATTGTCCAAAATGTTATGGTATACCAAAGCATTAAGAGTTCTCTTCACTGGAACTATGGGGCCTAGCCCAGCCCCTAAAAATCAACCCCATATCATTATCCCTCCTCAACTAAGCTTTACAGTTGGCACAATGCAGTCAGGCAGGTAACATTCTTCTGGCATCCACCAAACCAAGACTTATCCATCACAAAGAGAAGCGTGATTCGTCACTCCACAGAATACATTTCCACTGCTCCAGAGTTCAATGGTGGCGTGCTTTACACCACTCCATCTGATGCTTGGCATTGTGCTTGGTGATGTTAGGCTTGCATATGGCTGCTCAGCCACAGAAGCCAACTCTCAGCGCACAGTTTTTGTTTTGGGGTTAATAACAGAGGAAGTTTGGAACTCTGCAGTTATTGAGTTAACAGTGTTGGTGAGTTTTCACGCTGTCCGCCTCAGCATTTCTTGACTCCACTCTGTTACTTTACGAGGTCTGCCAGTCTGTGGCTGAGTTTCTGTTGTTCCTAAATGCTTTCACTTTGCTGTAATACCACTTACAGTTGACCATGGAATATCTAGCAGGGAAGAAATTTCACAAACACTCATGTTGCAACGGTGGCATCCTATTACAGTACCATACTTGAATTTACTGAACTCTTCAGAATGACCCATTATGCTTTTGTCCATATGGTATACGAACCATTGTATGTTTGTGAACCTGACTGCATGGCTGGGTGCTTGATTTTATACATCCGAGGCAATGGGTCTGAATGAAACACCTGAGTTCAATGAGTATGAGTATGAGGTATGTTCCAATACTTTTGTCCATAGAGTGTAGTGTGCCATGTTAATTGAAATGTATTGATAAAAGTATCTTATTTAATGCTAAGTAACTGATAAAGAGGAAAAAATATTGGAACAGTATCAGTATTGCAATATCGGTATTGGACCAGAAAAAATTTAATCGCGCCATCTCTAGTCTTGGTGCTGGATACCACAAGGCACCTTCAGATGTCCATGCCTCAACAGTTTGAAACTGTTTCGGTGACATGAGTACACAATATTAGGCAGGTGGTTTTACTGCTACGACCAATTAGTGTATATTTGATCTTTTGTTAGTCAGCAGTATCCAATTTATTTCTTGTTATGCTACCCTGATCTTGTTGCATCTGATCTTCCTACCAAATCGCAATTAAAGCTTGTGTCACTTCATTATGTATGTATACTATTGTAGCGGAGTCTGACATACTTTGGTCAATAAATCGATTCCCCTCCTGTGCATGTATGTATACTGGGACAAGGACAATAGTCTGATTAAATGGGGTAAATGACTTAGCTGTGCATGTAAACATACTGGTGAACATTTGAAGGGATTTATAAATTGGCTTAGTTAAAGCTCAGAATACATTTACTCTATTTTGCGGTTTGTTTTTTTGGCAACAGGAACTTCTGATTTTGCATATGTAATAAAGTTTCTAGTAAGCCTTAAAGCAAACGGTCAACGGAAGTGCCTGACTAAAGTTTCCTGTCTACATACCCTGATCTTTCACCTCCTGCAGCAAAATTAACTGCAGATTCCCATCACAGTTGTCATTCACTTCACTACCCCTCTTCTGCCTCCACTCCCCATACAACAATTAACTACAAAACTGTTAAATATTAGTAACTGTCAATTTTTTTTTTATAAAGTCGAAGAGAATGTAACACTATCAAATCAAAGCAATCACATCAGAAGAGCAACAAAATGGCAAGCTTACACTTTCACATCCGTCATATGCAGCAACCAGAAAGAGCAACCAGAGAGACCTGGTTGAATAAAAACATCTCAATAACTGTAACCTTAAAACATTACACTCCGATCCAGTGCGTGTCACCTGCATCCACAATGTGTATCATAAAGAGCATAGACCATAGATAAATTTACACAGAGGGACAAATTCCAAAATAATATAAAACAAGATCTTACTATTAGAATGTTTTCCTCCATGCTTTGATGGAAGAAATTCAGCTCATAAAATCCATTATCCGTAGGAAACAAACTATGCATACACATACCAGAAAAAGAGAGATACATTTAGAATTGTTCTCCCCGTTTGGTTTTAACCAATCACCAATTTGCCAACAAATAAACAACCAATAAAGGATTATTATAAAAATAAAAAAAAAACCAAAAGGGCACTAGGGCCCCCTGATCACTCTGGGGCTCTAGGCTACGGCCTGTTCATTAATCTGCCCCTGCCCATAAGAAGCCAGTTAAAAGAGACATTGAGAGGTCTAACATAAAGGAGTTTCAGCTGATTGTTACCAGATGTGCTGCAGCATTTTTAATTGTCTGCAGTGGCGTTACAGCACATGGCAATCCTGTCAGTAAAGAGTTACAGTAACTTTGTACAGTAAGGATTTGAGCTGCATATTCTGATAGATAATATCTGATCTTCCTGATTTTATCATCACCCCTCGGATCCTATCAGACCTTGATGGACACAACATCAATGGATGAATGATAGGGTTAGCAGGGAAAACAAGAACCTTGATCCAGTTCTTTGATAAAAATTCCTAGTAGGTCTGGTGGAAAAAAATTATGATAGCGTGCAGTTAAACAATAATCATAAGGCTGATTATACTTTATTGATCCCCGTGGCTAAATTCCCTTTTTGCTTGCTCCATCTTGCTCTCCTTAAGTGACAGTAAGCTTGGCAGTGAAGGGCAGCCACTTCTTGCAGCACCCTGGGAGCTGGGGGTTAAGGGCCTTGCTGAAGGACCCACAGACATGCTGAGGCTGGGCTTGAACCAATGATCTTCCAATCAGATGTACAGAGGCTTCACCCACTGAGCCACAACGGACCTCCATGGGACACAAATGTAGGGTTACTACATGGAGAAAAGAGAGGAGTCAATTTCCAGCTCTTGGAAATGAACCAACTCCCTCCCCTACCC